GATGTAAAACACAAGAATAAAATATTTTGACGTTCATTGAATGAAACAAATAATAAATAAAGCGAGTTTTCTGTTTTGCATATCATTAACTATACTGAATAAATTAGGTATTTGTATAAATGTATACTACAACGTTTCTGCAATCAAGTGTATATATGTATATTTTTTCCAGTTGTCCATCACTAGGGCTTTCTGAAAAAAAAAATTCTGGGAAGATATCCCATATATTTTGATATACTTTATATATATTTATACTGAACACTTTTATAACCGAGTAAAAAAAAATATTAAAAAAACTGGGTTTGATTAACGATCTTGAGCGTGCCTGGAATAAGAATTACTTCAGAAAGTAATAATAGACGTCGCAGCCGATAAAAAATGGCACACCGATTAATAGTAAAATAAACTAAAAGCTTAATTGAAATTGTTCTATGTATGTCTAGTTCCGAGTTAATTTGGCATAGCTGGTTAAATAATGGGGGATTCGGTCCCCACGCAGGAAACAGGGGGAAAATTCAATTAGGAACCGGTCATGCATCCGGTGAAAGAAAAGGAGAGAAAAAAACGAGAAGAGAACGGAATATACGAAAGGAGAGGAGAGGGACAGGAAATGAGAAAAGGTGAAATGAAATGAATAAATAAGGTGTCTTAAAAAATGATTTTTACAAATGGAAAACGGATTAAAGAAATGATAAAGATTTAAAAAGTTAAACGAGAGAAAAAAATAGAGAACGAAAAAAAAAAAAAAACACGGAGGATACAGCAATGACTTTTAAATGTCAACTGCATCATCTGTATGTCCCGCTTGCTGTCATTCAATATTTTTCATTCATCCGCCAAAAAATCTTTTTTTTTTTAATTGTTTGCACATCGTCTTATAGATAGATCAATGTCTATAGAAATTTAACGTGGTGCTGTCAATGCAGTTTGTAATACTAACAACTACCAGACTATTTGCATGTTTAGCTTTCGTTTAACAACGATTGCTTCATCTTACTTCATTCGACTATCACTGCGATTTAGCTTACTAAAGAGAGATGAAATTAATGCAGAACTGATGTATAACTGAAAAAAGCTTGACTTTAACGTGGTTCATGACTATTCATTAATAGGTTTTAGCTAAAAGAACTTACTGTGGCGAAAGGTAGGAAAAAAGCTTATAGAACAAAAGCGTTTTATTAAGACATCATTAAGATATGAATAACGTAACAGAACTTGCTTGCAATAAAACCTTCGACACCACATTGTCACTACTGGATGAATTTTGAGCTTAGTCAAAGATAAATGTAAACTTGTAACATAAATGAATGACTTTGCTTACCATAAATGACAAGAGAGAGAGCAAAACCAAGGAACGGATTCTTATTGATCCTCATGAAGGTGACAGCGTCGCAGAGACACTATACAATATTGCTTTTTTGATCCTATCGGGATTGATGTTTTCTCGAGATTTTTGAATCCATATTGAATACTAGTCATTTTGGAAGCTACAGAATATTTGAATAACACCAGATGGTTGCTTGATATTCATTATTTTATGTCACATCGTAGGAGGACAAACTCGTTTCCTTTAATTTACGGTCTACATTTGCATACTGGTGAAAAATAAATGTGAGAGGAGTTGAACGCGTGCCAAATTCATATCGAGAATTTTCTTACACTATTTTTTCTCAACCGAACTAATAATAAGAATGAGGAATGTTTTAGGAAAGCCATGTGAATGGCTTCCTGTGTGTGTTTTTTCTATTTTATTTTTTATTTTTTATTTTTTTTATTTTTTTATTTAATGCATATCGTGTTGGAGAATTCAGCCAGTAATTTTGCCGATAGCTTAGCGCGGTTTTCATTGAAAATAGGTCGCAGCTGGAGCGATCGAAAAAATTATATATATA